ATAAGTTGTATCTATTTATCTGCAGCCCTCTCTCCTCTACAGACTGCTAAAGCACACAGAAAAAAAAGAAAATTTCTCAGCTCTAGCAGGCAGGGGGATCTGATTTCACACATTGCACAGCATAGAGCAGGGAGCTGAGTGTAATCTGAGACCTGTGTGGCGGAATCACCCTTTGTCTGCTCTGGGGGGGGGGGGGGGGAGGACCATCTCCTGGGATTGTCTGGTGTCCGCAAAGACTTCATAAGTGACTAATGTAGATAGTAGAGGGAAGAGAGAAATGTACAGTCTGATCACTGGGGGAGGGGAGACTGAGGAAGTGCTTCCTCCTCCTTCTACAAAGTTACAATGTGTGGTCTGATCCCTGGGGAGGGGAGACTGAAGAAATGCCTCCTCCTTCTACAAAGTTACAATGTACAGTCTGATCACTGGGGGAGGGGAGACTGAGGAAATGCTTCCCCCTCCTTCTACAAAGTTACAATGTACAGTCTGATCACTGGGGGAGGGGAGACCAAGGAAATGCCTCCTCCTCCTTCTACAAAGTTACAATGTACAGTCTGATCACTGGGGGAGGGGAGACTGAGGAAATGCTTCCTCCTCCTTCTACAAAGTTACAATGTACACTGATCACTGGGGGAGGGGAGACTGAGGAAATGCTTCCCCCTCCTTCTACAAAGTTACAATATACAGTCTGATCACTGGGGGAGGGGAGACTGAGGAAATGCTTCCTCCTCCTCCTACAAAGTTACAATGTACAGTCTGATCACTGGGGGAGGGGAGACCGAGGAAATGCTTCCTCCTCCTTCTACAAAGTTACAATGTACAGTCTGATCACTGGGGGAGGGGAGACTGAGGAAATGCTTCCTCCTCCTTCTACAAAGTTACAATGTACAGTCTGATCACTGGGGGAGGGGAGACTGAAGAAATGCTTCCTTCTACAAAGCTCAATGTACAGTCTGATCACGAGGAAGGGAAGAGGGTAGGAAACGCCTCCTCCTGCAGCAGACTGATGACATCATCTCAGCCTAGGCAAAAGTCACCGGACTGGAGCTGAAGCTCATATGTTAATGACACATTTATGAGATGGCGATTTTCTGAGCGATGATCCTGTCGCTGTGTATTGTGACGTCAGGAATGTAAAGTCACTGACAGGCTCACTGTAAGGTCATAATTAAAGAAAAAAAAGCCTTCATAGCAAAAACACAATCAATGCGTCTCCCCTCCCCCGTCCTTTCCCTCTGCTACAAAGGACAGGTCCTCTTTCCTCTGATTGGGCCGGGAGGCGCCGTTGTCTTACCTGTCCAGCGTGGCGTTTTCATGTCTTCTCAGCTTTTCGATGACAGGTTGGATTCCCAGCATGAGAAATTCGTATCGAAGGTGCAACCGAAATTCCAAATTGTCCTACACGGGGAAAGCAGAAAGAGAAGAAAATACTGAATACCAGAAAATGTGACATTTGTGCCCCGCAGAGCCGACCTTTTCACGGCTAAACAGGAGGAGGAGGAGATTTGCAAACATCTGCCAGAGGGTCTAATACAGCGGTAGGCAACCTGCGGCTCTCTAGCTGTTGTGGAACTACATTTCCCATGAGGCATTGCAAAGATTACAAAACTGACAGTTACAGCTGTGACTTGCAGAGGCATGATGGAACTTGTAGTCCTGCGGCTCTCAGGTTGCCTACCCCTGACCTAGTACATCACATCACACCAGACTTCAAACCGTGCGACTTACAGCGAAGTCGTGCGACTTCAAAGTTGGGGGATTTTAGGTGCGATTTCAGGTGCGATTTGCAAGACATCCGACACAGAGGTCTATGCAGGTCGCACCAAAAGTCGTGCGTGTACTTTGGAAATCGGTGACCAAGTTGGAACCGCATCGATAGGACCGCAGCAATTGCGGACAATAGGATGCGACTTGGCGTGTGATTTGCAAGTCGCATGCCGAGTCGCACGCAGTGGAACCCGGGGGCCTTACTCCAGATTTATTGATGATATTATAGTCATCCGGAACGGTGATATGGACAATCATGTCACTTCTGGTCTCAATATCAATACAAAAAAATATAAAATCCTGGGAGATTAGTGCCGAAAATATTCATTTTCTAGATTTGGAGTTCTACAAACATGGGGGAGAATTACATAATTGCACATATTTCAAATCAAATGACGGAAATCGAAAACAGATAGCGGTCACCGTCAATTATTATCGGGTATGTTGGAAAATTTGTGGACGATTTGCCGATTTTCCCGGGAAGAAGGAGAAGAAGAAGAAGGAGAAGAAGAAGAAGAAATTAGAAAGAAGAAAAAGAAAGAAAGAAGATGAAGAAGAATAATGAAGAAGAAAGAAGAGGAAGAAAAGAAGAGAGAAGCAGAAAGAAGAAAGAAAGAAAGAAGCAAGAAGAAGCAGAAAGAAAGATGAGAAGAAAGAAGAGGAAGCAAGAAGTCCGCTATTATATTTTATATGTAAAAGTCTTGCGGTTGCAACAATGTATCCAAATAAAACCATAATGTATTCGTATTGCTGTCACATTGTACGGTGCGCTCCCCTGTCACATTGTACGGTGCGCTCCCCTGTCACATTGTACGGTGCGCTCCCCTGTCACATTGTACGGTGCGCTCCCCTGTCACATTGTACGGTGCGCTCCCCCGTCTCTGCAGGGACAGAAGTTATGGGGTTAATGCCGGCCGTAGTTGAGTCGAAAATGGAGGTGAGATCTTGCATGGTGCACCAGACCTGGGGAGACTGACACTTGTTTTGTGTTTCTTCCATTTGTGAATGATTGCACCAAGTGTTGTCACCTTCTCACCAAGCTGCTTGGCCATAGTTTGGTAGCCCAGTCCAGCCTTGTGTAGGTCTACCATCTTGTCCTGACCTCCTGGGGATCTATTGTTGCAGGGGAGATCTATTGCTGCTAGTGGGGAATTTATTGTTGTTCAGATGGATCTAGTGTTGAGGCAGAGGTCTAACGGTGCTGGGGGATCTCTTGTTGCTGGGGGAATCTATTGTTGCTGGAGAGGACTATTGTTGCTGGTGCAGAATCTATTGTTGCTGGGGGGTTGATTGCTGTTGTGAGGACTCTCCTGTTGAGGTAGAGGTATAATATTGCCTGTGGATCTACTGTTGCTGGTGGAATGTATTGTTGCTGGGGAGATCTATTGTTGTGAATGGTAATTTATTGTTGCTTGGATGGATCTACTGTTGAGGCAGAGGTATACCAATGCTGGGGGATCTATTGTTGCTGGAGAGGGCTATTTTTGCTGGTAAAGAATATATTGTTGCTGGGGGGGGATCTACTATTGAGGTAGGGGTTTAATGTTGCCTGGGGATTTATTGTTGCTGGGAAGATTTATTGTTGCTAGCGGGGAATGTATTGTTGCTCAGATGGATCTACTGTTGAGACAGAGGTCTAGTGGTGCTGTGGGATCTATTGTTGCTGTGGGATCTATTGTTGCTGTAGAGGACTAGTGTTGCTGCTGCAGAATCTATTGTTGCTGGGGGGTTGATTGTTGCTGTGAGGGATCTACTGTTGAAGTAGAAGTCTAATGTTGCCTGGGGATCTATTATATTATAATATATTGTTTCTCCGGGTCTTGCTGTTGGGGGGGTCTATTGTTTCTGGAGGTCCATTGTTTCTGGATGGATCTACTGTTGAAGCAGGGGTCTTTTGTTGCTGGGGAGGTCTATTGTTGCTGGGGAGGTCTATTGTTACTAGTGGGGAATCTATTGTTGCTGGGATGGTTCTACTGTTGAGGCAGGGGCATAACAATGCTGGGGTATCTATTGTTGCTGGGTAGGTCTAGTCCCCCATAAACAATAGACCCCTTCTTCAACAGTAGATCCCTCCCAGCAACAATGGACCCCCCAGCAACAATGGACCCCCCCCAGCAACGTCAGACCCCTGCCTCAACAGTAGATCCATCCATAACCTGTCAACACTCCAATCAAACGTAAAGCAAACGTTTTGGCTAGATATACGATTGACATGATATTTTCTTCTACCAAGTCGGAGTTCCACTTTAGATCCTCATTATCGGGCTCTGCCCTGCGTCTTCCCAGCTCCTGCAGATTGGAGGAGATGGAAACAATCCTGGACGTCTGTCATCCATCACGCGTGTGATCCGTGTTCTGGAAATAGGATCACGTCATCAACCATTACAATATTTTGCGCTCCCAGCACTGTGCGCGCCTCGGGCCCTAACAGCCAAGGGGCCCCGCAGACACGGCCTTGTAAAGGAACGGCTCTGGAAGCGTTCCATCACCGCCGACTCTTTGTCTTCAAGTGCAGAGCGGACGGGGGCATTGCTGCGAAGTGTGTGCCGGGCCGGCCAGTGATGGAAAACAGACCAGCTCCCTCCAGGCTGGAAGGTATTGAAATAGGAAGAGGGGCCCTTTGCATCGATCGACCGACCCATCCACCGACCAATCCACCCACCGACCAATCCACCGACCGACCCACCGACCACCCCACCGACCGATCCGACCGACCCACCGACCAATCCACCGACCACCCCCCCACCGACCCACCAATCCACCGACCGACCCACCGACCAATCCACCGACCCACCCCACTGACCGACCCACCGACCAATCCACCGACTCACCGACCAATCCACCGACCCACCGACCGACCCACCGACCAATCCACCGACCACCCCACCAATCCTTATAATCTATGCCGATCGTTGCTTTAAGAGGCGCCGCAACAGTCACCTTGAAATGGGTCAACGACCTGGAACAAGTATGCAGCCAATGAAGTCTAAAAACTTCCACCTCCTGCCTACATGCACATGCCCGCCATAGGATGCACATCTGCATTGGGGTGCGCAAAGGGGGTTAGCAACCTTTAATTATTTTTTTTTCCATTGAACTTTATTGCTATCACAAGGTGGCCACCTGTGCAATAAGTCCAATCCCCTCCATATCATGTGATTCAGGTGTTCCAATCCCCTCCATATCATGTGAGTCAGGTGTTCCAATCCCCTCAATATCATGTGATTCAGGTGTTCCAATCCCCTCCATATCATGTGATTCAGGTGTTCCAATCCCCTCCCAATCATGTGATTCAGGTGTTCCAATCCCCTCCCAATCATGTGATTCAGGTGTTCCAATCCCCTCCATATCATGTGATTCAGGTGTTCCAATCCCCTCCATGGACACAGGTGTATACAATCAAGCCCCTAGGCATGCAGATGGCTTCTACAAACATTGGTGAAAGAATGGGTCGCTCTCAGGAGCTCAGTGACTCCAAGCGTGGTCCCGTGATAGGTGGCCACCTGGGCAATAAGTCCATCCGTGACATTTCCTGGCTACTAAATATTCCACGCTCAACTGTTAGTGGGATTATAACAAAGTAGAAGCAACTGGGAACAACAGCCACTCAGCCACCAAGTGGTAGGCCATGTCACATGACAGGGCGGGGTCAGCGCATGCTGAAGCGCACAGTGCGCAGAAGTCATCAACTGTCTGCAGAGTCAATAGCTAAAGACCTCCAAACTTGGTGTGGCCTTCAGATGAGCCCAACAACAGTGCGTAGAGAGCTTCATGGAATGGGTTTCCATGGCCGAGCAGCTGCATCCAAGCCTTCCATCACCAAGTGCAATGCAAAGTGTCGGATGCCGTGGTGTAAAGCACGCCGCCACTGGACTCTAAAGTAGTGGAGACATGTTCTCTGGAGTGACCAATCACGCTTCTCTGTCTGGCAATCCGATGGACGTGTCTGGGTTTGGCGGTTGCCAGGAGAACGGTACTTGCCTGACTGCATTGTGTCAAGTGTAAAGTTTGGTGGGGAGTTTATAGTGGGGGGTTGTTTTTCAGGGGTTGGGCTTGGCCCCCTAGTTCCAGTGAAGGGAACTCTTAAGGCGACATTTTGGAGGATTTCATGCTGCCAGCTTTGTGGGAAGAGTTTGGGATTGGCCCCTTCCTGTTCCAACATGACTGCCCACCAGTGCACAAAGCAAGGTCCATAAAGACATGGAGGAGCCAGTTTGGGGTGGAGGAACTTGACTGTCCTGCACAGAGTCCTGACCTCAACCCCATAGAACACCTTTGGGATGGATTAGAGCGGAGACTGAGAGCCAGGCCTCCTCCCCCGACATCAGTGCCTGACCTGACAAATGTGCTTCTGGAAGAATGGTCCAACCTTCCCATAGACACCCTCCTAAACCTTGTGGACGGCCTTCCCAGAAGAGTTGAAGCTGTTATAGCTGCAAAGGGCGGGGCCAACTCAATATTGAACCCTACGGACTAAGACTGGGGGTCCATTAAAGGTCATGTGTGTGGAAAGGGCGGGGCCAACTCAATATTGAACCCTACGGACTACGACTGTGGGGCCATTAAAGGTCATGTGCGTGGGAAAGGGCGGGGCCAACTCAATATTGAACCCTAGGGACTAAGACTGGGGGGCCATTAAAGGTCATGTGCGTGGGAAAGGGCGGGGCCAACTCAATATTGAACCCTAGGGACTAAGACTGGGGGGCCACTAAAGGTCATGTGTGTGGAAAGGCCGGCGGCCCAATACTTTTGGCAATATAGTATATATACGCAGGCCTCCATTTTTAAGTTTTGGTCAAAGCTAAAAGAGTACCATGTGGCCCCTGTACGGCTTTGATACCCCAGGATATGTCGAGTGAAGGGTGCTAAAAAAGAGAAGGGGCGCCATGGAGAAGAGAAGGTACACAGGTAGGGAGTGTGGGACAAATAAGAAAGATAAAAGGAGCAAGGATAAAGTTCATGGAGCCTTCCAAATCCTCTGCTTCAGAAAAGTGAAATAAAGGGAAATATTCGGACAGAATGTAATAAAAGCACACCGCTGGGAAAGAAGAGGAAGGGACAGGTATACCTGGACCCTTTGATTTCCGGGGCCCCCAGACATTTGGACCCTCTGTACCTTCCTTCTGGTTTCACACCATGTAGTTGAAGGAACATGTTTTGTGAAATCGCAATAAGCTCACCTCTCCTGCTCCGGCATTTAGGACGGCGTTGATGAAAGACATGATGGCGGTCTTTAGATTGACCTCGTCTCGGTATCTTCCCATACTTCTGTCTAGTTCATTCAGGAGAGACTGCAGGAGAAAACAACATGTCATGTGTATCAGTGTTCAAGAAAACAACTTCCAGATAGAGATATAGACACTTTATCTTGTTGGCCATGCCAACATCCCATTCCAAGGCCATCCCTCCATCCCATTCCAAGGCCATCCCTCCATCCCATTCCAAGGCCATCCCTCCATCCCATTCCAAGGCCACCCCACCATCCCATTCCAATGCCATCCCGCCATCCCATTCCAAGGCCATCCCTCCATCCCATTCCAAGGCCATCCCTCCATCCCATTCCAAGGCCATCCCTCCATCCCATTCCAAGGCCATCCCTCCATCCCATTCCAAGGCCACCCCACCATCCCATTCCAATGCCATCCCGCCATCCCATTCCAAGGCCATCCCTCCATCCCATTCCAAGGTCATGCCACCATCCAATTCCAAGGTCATACCACCATCCCATTCCAAGACCATCCCTCCATCCCATTCCAAGGCCATCCCTCCATCCCATTCCAAGGCCATCCCACCATCCCATTCCAAGGCCACCCCACCATCCCATTCCAAGGCCACCCCACCATCCCATTCCAATGCCATCCCTTTATCCCATTCCAAGGCCATCCCTCCATCCCATTCCAAGGCCATCCCTCCATCCCATTCCAAGGTCATGCCACCATCCAATTCCAAGGTCATGCCACCATCCCATTCCAAGGTCATACCACCATCCCATTCCAAGACCATCCGTCCATCCCATTCCAAGGCCATCCCTCTATCCCATTTCAAGGCCATCCCTTCATCTCATTCAAAGGCAATCCCACAAACCAGTTCTACGGCCATGACACCATCCCATTCCAAGGCCATCCCACCATCCCATTCCAAGTCCACCCTTCCATCCCATTCCAAGGCCATCCCACCATCCCATTCCAAGTCCACCCTTCCATCCCATTCCAAAGCAATCCTACCAAACAATTCCAAGGCCATGTCACCTTCCCACTCCAAGGCCATCCCACCATCCTATTTCAAGGCCATCCCTCCATCCTATTTAAAGGCCATCCTACCAACCCATTCCAAGGTCACGACGCCATCCAATTCTGAACCCATCTCTCTATCCCATTCCAAGGCCATCCCCTCACCTAATTCTAAAGCCATTCTTCCATCCCATTCCAAGGCCATCTCTCCATCCCATTCCATGGCAATCCCACCATACCATTCCAAGGCAATCCCACCATACCATTCCAAGCCCATCCCTCCAACCCATTCCAAGGCAATCCCACCATACCATTCCAAACTCATCCCTCCATCCCATTCCATGGCCATCCCTCCATCCCATTCCAAGGCAATCCCACCAACCAATTCCAAGACCATTCCACCATCCAATTCTAAGGCCATTCCACCATACCATTCCAAGCCCATCTCTCTATCCCATTCCAAGGTCACCCTACCATCCCCTTCCAAGGCCACCCCACCATCTTATTCCAAGCCATGCCATATACAGTATAGATACACACACACACACAAGGTGTGACAATTTAATTCCCAGAATGCCCGCAGTGTGGCACTATGGTGGTGAGTCACTCGAGGTGTTCTGACATGTTCTGACCCGCACTCTCCTGGGTCACAGACCAGTGGGCTCGGTCTTTACGGAGCAGTAGAATGCGTAACACATGTATACGTTGTACTGTTGGCAGAAAATGAGTGACAGGGATCTGGAGCAGCAGATAAACATCAAATTGTGTGTGACCCCCCCAGAAACATAAGGCCCCCTAGCAACATTAAATCACCCACCAGCAACAATAGAACCCCCCCAGCAACAATAGAACCTCCCCCCCAGCAACAATAGAATCCCATGCAAAAATTGATTCACTTGAACAATAACCCCCGGAAGCAACAACAACAGATCTCCCAGCAGCCAGCATCAATAAACGCTCTATCAGCCAACAACAATAGACCCCCTCCCTCAAACGTAGATCCCTCCCAGCAACAAATGCCCCCCCAGAAACATAAGGCCCCCTAGCAACAATAGACCAGAACCCTCCAGTAACAATATAACCCCATGCAAACATAGATCCACCTGAACAACAATAACCCCCAGCGACAACAACAGATCTCCCAGCAGCCAGCATCAATAAACCTTCTAGCAGCCAACAATAGGCCCTCCCTCAACAGTAAATCCTTCCTAGCAACAAATGACCCCCCCCCAAAACATAAGGCCCCCTAGCAACAATAGATCCCCCACCAGCAACAATAGAACCCCCAGCAACAACAGAATCCCATGCAAAAATAGATCCACTTGAACAATAATAACCCCCGGAAGCAACAACAGCTCTCCCAACAGCCAATATCAATAAACCCTCTAGCAGCCAGCAACAATAGACCCCTCCCTCAATAGTAGATCCCGCCCAGCAACAAATGAACCCCACCCAGAAACATAAGGCCCCCTAGCAACAATAGATCCCCCACCAGTAAAAAAGATCCCCTCCAGCAACAATCGGTCCTTCATCAGCCAACAAGAATAGACCCCCTCCCTCAAAAGTAAATCCCTCCCAGCAACAAATGCCCCCCCAGAAACATAAGGCCCCCTAGCAACAATAGACCAGAACCTTCCAGCAACAATATAGCCCCATGCAAACATAGATCCACCTGAACAACAAAAACCCCCAGCAGCAACAACAGATCTCCCAGCAGCCAGCATCAATAAACCTTCTAGCAGCCAACAATAGGCCTTCCCTCAACAGTAAATCCTCCCCAGCAACAAATGACCCCCCCGAAACATAAGGCCCCCTAGCAACGATAGATCCCCCATAGCAACAATAGAACCCCCAGCAACAACAGAATCCCATGCAAAAATAGATCCACTTGAACAACAATAACCCCCGGAAGCAACAACAGATCTCCCAACAGCCAATATCAATAAACCCTCTAGCAGCCAGCAACAATAGACCCCTCCCTCAACAGTAGATCCCACCCAGCAACAAATGAACCCTGCCCAGAAACATAAGGCCCCCTAGCAACAATAGATCCCCCACCAGTAAAAAAGATCCCCTCCAGCAACAATCGGTCCTTCAGCAGCCAGCAACAATAGACCCTCCAGTACACCCTCGCATACGATGTCGAAGTCAGAACGGTGTGACAGGGGGGTGGTAAAATCTTCAGAAATCACACCTGAAATTGCGCGATTTCAAACAGACCGGTGACTTAAAGTTTCAGAAGAAAGGATTAGCCGCCGTTCCACTTTAAAGAAGACGGCATTAAACAATGCGATAAAACGAAGGTCATCGGCAGGACAGGGCGGGCGAGGCGCGGGGGGTCTGTGCTGCGATGACGTGATGCAGGAACTGCGACCATTTACCAA